TATATTCGTTGTTCTGTACATAGCACATCTGAAATTAAAAAATCGCATTAAAAACTTTCTGAATTGTGTATCTATTTTTTATGTTAATCCTGTTATTTTATTCCGATTTATTTCTATAATCACATGCTTTTAAATTTTCCAAAATATCTATGTTTTAAAATACAAACTCCATGTTAATGTGCCACAAAATATGACAAATTATTCAAATCTAAATTGCTATAATATTCGTTAAATTGCTAGAATATACGGGTTAAATATTGAATATGGGTTTAGAAATAAAAAAGCGAGTCGGCATAAAATTAAATCAGGACCAAAGGATTTGTTTGTCACCATCATAACCACCTTCAAATAATGGGTGTCCTTAGCCTTAGGACCTTCTCATATAACATGATGCTCTCATACGTTAATATGGCCCAATCTTAAAAAAGTGAATAAATATGGAAAGAAAAACCATCGTAACCACATTCTTAACCCGCCAAACATAAAAAATTTATACAATGATTAAAGTGAGTTAACCCTCCATAATTTGTCAAACATAAAAGATATAGAAGGTTTTAAGCTAACCCCTTTAGAGGGATTAAAATGAGTTAACCCCTCAATATGAGGGGTTTACTAATACTCCTATTTAGAATGATTAAGAGTTAACCTATCTAATTGTAAAGAAAACAGTCAAAATCATTGTTATTCCCAAACACTAAAACTGATCACGATGGCTAAAATAAAACTTATTTAACGGATTAATAATTTAGTCCTTCAGATTATCGAATGGGCTAAGTATATTAATACTTCTCTTTAATCTTTCTTCCTTAATCCTTTGCCAAAATGAGCCATATGGCATATAATACCCATTGGCCTCAGGAAACAGGGACGGAGAGAAATGATTTCCTCCGACGCCTTTTTTTTCTATGGTTTGGCTGGAACAAAGAAAAAAGGGGGTGTATACGGGGCCCACACTTATATATACTAATAATTTAATGGGTCTCACAAAAACTGAAAACCTATTTGGGGTTATTTTGAAAGCAAATGGACTAGAAATGATGATGCGTTAATCTTTGTAATAACAAATTCTTAATCTAATTATTTATCATTGATGTCTAACACTGCAATCACAATATCATCATCTTCTCCAAAGT